AAATACATCTAGATATCCATCTTAATAGCCTGTGAGTAGAGATTGAGAACTGTGTGGATCTATCTGCAAAGGAAATGAAGAGCCTAGGTGTCTTCCTAAATTGCTTGATCCCATCTAAGTAGAAGGCCAATGCCCTTCTGACATCTAGGGTATATAAACAAAAATCCTGTAGAGAACTATGTAGCTTTGGAAAAAACACCAATAGATGAATGGCTTGAATAAGGTGGAACTCTGATAGAACCTTAGATAAGAATTTAAGGTGTGGATGTAAAGAGAACTTACCCTTAAAGACACTGTAAATGGGGGACAGGGAAAGGGAATCTTCCATCCAGGATCCAATCTCCCTGACCTTATGGCTGATGTGATGGCTACTAAAAAGGCTGTCTTCATAGACCAAAGCAACAGAGCAGGTTGCCACTGGGTCGAATGGAGGTCTCATAAGGTACCAGACTGAGGTACCAGACTGAGGTCTGAGGTTGGGGCAGGGTTTCTAATCTGGAGACAGACATTCCTCAAACCTTTAATAAGCCTAGACCATACTGCATGAGCAAATATGGAAAATCGTTCTAGTGGAGGATGAAAGGCTGATATTCCCTTAGTATATCTGAACTCCTGTGGTACCGAAAAGGGGATCAGTACCGACACGGTAGCGGAGGCCATGGTTGCCAAAGTTGATGGTACCGCCAATGGTAGGCATACCGAAATAAAAGCCAATGGTGTGTGGTGCTGTTGCTTGCTGGTGCCGAATGCATGAGTACTGACAGCTAGGCTGAACTTGATGGTGCCAGTCCTGAGTGTCTGCGCTTGCCCTCCTTGCTGACAGAAGGTACCAAGTCCCGATTGGACCTCTCTTTCTCCTTGGTGCTCTAGGACTTTACAACCCCTCTGGTAATGGATGAGGAGTCCTTTGACTCAGTGGTATCGAGTCAAGAGGTAGAGCCTTCAGAGACCATAGATCTCATCAGGGTCCTGGACTTGTTTTGGAGCTGGGTCCTTAGGGCGAGAGCCAATATTCTTCTTTTTAGAAGCATTTCCTGAAGCCTCCAAAGTTCTTCCTTCCTTAGGAGGAGCCTGTGCTGAGGTAAAAGGGGTGCTGTCTGGAGACAGTTGTACTGTGTGTGTCTCTCTGTGTCTGTCTCCTGACCAGACTCAGCAACTGTCTGAAAGGAGTGTTCCATCATTAGCAGACTGAGTTTAACCTCCTTTTTCATTGCCCTGGATTTGAGGGCCAGGCAGAAATTGCACTTCTGGCAGACGTGAGACTTCCCAAGCAACCGACACACTTAGAGTGGCCATCTCGCACAAGTACAGCCTCTCAGCAGGAGACGCAATGTTTGAAGCCTGGTATGCCAGATATGCCCAGGAAAAGTAAAAGTCTCCCAGAGGGTAAAGACAGTAAAACTATTATCTCACTACTTATTTAACTAAATCTATACTAACAACTATACCACTATAGAAATATTAGAAAAGCCAAGGCACACTCAAGGAGGACACACTAAGGCTAAGTCTCAGGCTGAGGCAATTGAGAAGGAACTCAGGGCAGTTGCCCACACACCCCAATATAGCCTTGGTATCTGGCACAAGGAGGCATAGGGATGGATGAGCAGACTGAATGGACATTGCTAAGTAAAAATCTCCAATCATGGGATCAACAGGTGCATGCGTGCCTGAAGCGGAGCACCCATAGGGACATCAATTGAAGAAAAAAGAGGAGCAGCTTTCCAACACCTCTATCTGGGTCCTGTTCAGTTGGAATGAGTGTAGTGTTATGCCATCTACTTTAGCTATGCCATGCAACAATAGAATCAAAAGCCAAAGTAAGGTTGAGGTTTTGCTTTTATCCATAGCTGGAGAGTGGCCATTAATTACTGCTACAAGGACTGCCTCTTTCTCAAGACCTATCTAAAGTCTGACAGAAAAATTCAAGATGTCCACAGATATTAATTATATGTAATTTCGTACTGCCTATGAGATGTACTCATGTACCAGGACCCCACTATGACAGGCGCTTCATAAACAGAGAACAAAAAAGAAGGTTCCTGCCCAAGGAGCTTACAATCTAATTATACAACAAGAAACAGAGGGTTACAACAAAGAGCACAGGGAAGCAATTAGACAATACTGGCCAGCCTCATTGGCTACTGGTGTGCTGAGACCATAACCCAACTGTTAATTTTTTTGGGTGCATCGTGGCATAGGAGGGTTTTAAGGAGGGATCTGAAGGAGAACACTGAAGTGGTTTTGCGGATGTTTACAGGAAGCTCCTCCCAAGCATGAGGGGCCGCATGGGAGAAAGCATGACGGTCCTTGTTTGAAAATCTAACAAATGGGTAATCGAGGCTAGTATCATGAGACAATCAGAGGTGGAAGTCGACATCTTGATACTTAATGAGAAATGATAGGGTGGGGCTATTAAGTGATGTGGAGTTTGGTTGTTACCACCTATGATATTTTTACTTAAGTAGAGGGGACTGGATAGCATATGGAGAGATGGCAGTTGTGTGTACTCTGAGACATGCTGAATGGACCCAAATTCTACCGTGACAGAAATTTAGCACTCTGGTGAAAGACTGGAAATTCTGTAGCAGTTTCACACTAAAGGAGAATTTTACAGAATTAAATAAAAGCATGTTAAATTCAACTAAATGTTGCACCATAATTATCAGTTTTTTAATCGGCTGCAGAATTGTGTGCTGAAAATACAGAACTGCATTGTGGAAGCTGGAGACTATCAGCTGATTAAGAGATAGCTGGGGCTTTTGGAAACTGGGAAAACAGTTTATGATTGTGAAATAAGCATAATAGCCAGATGTTTCTGCTAATGTGGTCAGCATTGTTATAGTTAACAAGGCTGACACAAACTGTCATAATTAGGTTCCAGAATTAACGCTCTATTGAGCATGAGGATAATTCACACCTCTTAGACCTATTGTTTCAGACTGTCTACACACTTAGGAAGACAACACGGAGACAGTTTACACTCATTTCATGTTCTCTTCATAACCATGAGGGCTAGAAACTTTAAAATGAAATCTTAAGTTTTGCTTAAGGTGGGGTCTCTGTAGCCAATTACTCAGTAGCAGAAAACACAGGTACTAAATAATTTTAAAGCTGATCAGCTTTGCCAGGGTCACATTAAAATCTCAAAGGAATCTTAGTCAATTTTCAGACATGTCAGAATGCACATGAACCTGCTAATGGTCCAAAGAAACACTTGTTTACTTTGGGCTACTTCATGAAAGACTAAAGCATTGAACAGGAAAGAAAGTTCAGCTGTTTACATGGATCACTTTAAAGGACACACGTTGGCATGCCTGACTTCTACATATGGCAAGTAATTCCCAAAGGTATGTAAAATAGTGCTCTTCTTCCAGTTACTTCAGCTGAACAAGAGGGAGCATGGTCTAGTACTGTGGATATGAACTGTTCCCACCGAGGAGCCAATCCAAAATCCCACAAAAATTTGTAGCCACAAAGAAGTGCAAATATGGATTCCTCAACGAGAAACTGGACCTCAGTTTGGAGACTGGGGGCAATGTGTTGAGTAAGGTGCTGATAATAACTCTATGATTTCCCCCATTCCCCAACTTCCTTCCATCCAACTGTTTCAAGTTATTGTGGAATAACAGAGTGAAGTAACTGCAAGAAAAAGAAAGTTTCTCTTTTCCCCACTCCTAAAAGCTGAAGCCTTTGGTAGCTTTCTTCCTGTCTCACATTCTTGTCACATGAGTGCTTAACAAAAAACATTGTTCTACACTCATGAGGTGTTCTCCATTTTACTGCAATTCCTGAATCTATAATCTCCATTTTACAATCAGGAAACTTAACCTGCAAATTACTCATCTGTAGTTACACTAGAAATCTATGGCAGAACCAGGAACGGAATCCATATCTCTCAAGTCCCAGTCCAGTGTTAACCACTAACCCACCCTTCCTCTTAATCAAAATGCCTTCTACCTAAACATAGGAAGTTTTTTGTTTCTTAGCCCCTGGAGTGCAACCAATCGGGTAGCTACCCCCTCATGACCCACTTGGGAGGAGAGTAGGGGAGGTGTCACATCCTAGCATTTGAGAAACTAGTTTAATGGAAGCAGCATTGACTGTAAACTTGAAACTGTTGATTTGGTGTCTATTTTTCTTCATTTTGACAGAGCACTGTTTAGAAAAACTGGAGATACAGTATCTTTAATTGAGGTGGCCTCACAGCCACAGAAGTTTCAATATAATTTCATATCAGGAAAAGAAGTAACAATACACCTCTTTTTAAAAAAGACACTAATTTAATATAGTGTTCTGTACCCCTTGTGCAAAAATCAATTTAGATTCTTGGTTTCCATTCTTTCCTCCTCAACTGACCATATCATGGCTGGAGAATGATCAACCCCAGCAGCAAGGTGTGTCGTAACTGTTTTGCATTGATTAGTAACCCACTGACCAATAAAATGGCACACACTGACGAGTCAAACTAAGCTGTCCAAATCTTGTTCCTTAAACCAATGGTGACAGACAAAAGCTCAAGACTATGTGAGGGAAAACAATGGTATTTCTCACGATTCTGATAGATAAGAGACTGCTCAGGGAAGAGAGAAGTAATTTTTTAAAGGCAGATGTTTAAAAAGTTTTTGTAACGTTAAAAAAGTCCATGCCCTTTTAAAGATTTTATTTCCATTTTGTAATAGATGTAGTGAGGCAAATAGGGCTTGCATTAGTAGGTAGTTATGGTTGTGTTAATGGATGTATACTGATTGCACTTTACAGCTGTCATGCCTAATAATGTTTGCTTAAACAATATATTTGTGTATAAAATTGCAGTGTTTTATAAACACCAAATCATTACTTCTCATGAATTTGACCAATGTACTATTTTGACAGCTATTTTCAGCATTTATGAGATTCACAAAATACATTTAAATTCTTTAGTTTATAAAAATATTTGTGAAGCTTTTTACAAATATGTAATAAGAATGAACTACAGTCAAGAGCAATAAACATGAATTTACCTCTTTAGAATCGTCTATTCTCTCAAAATAAACAAAAGCGAATCCTCTTGATCGTCCAGTCCGCTGATCATAAACCACATTGACGCCACTCAAAGGTCCGTAACGGGAAAAGACTTCACGCAAGTCTCGCTCAGTGGTATACAAACTGAGGCCAAACACTCCAAGGCATGTGTTAGGATCTGGATTAGCCTGTTAAAACGAAAGTTCAAAATATATTCCATTAAAATGTTATTACTATCATATCAGCCAACTACTATTTGTTTTCCTGGTTATTCAAAGCTTAGCACTTCAACCTTAATGAACTAAAAGATATTTTCAAAAATCAAACTTTTTTTTTAATAAAATCTATTACAGCAAATTAAATATTAGCAAACGATGCTGAATTCACGGTACTGGAATCTGAAGCCCTTTGTTCACCTACAGAGCAAGTACAACATAGAGAGCTGCTCCAGAAGCTTTCCGATACTGCCCCTCCCTAATATGCTACTGGCCTGATTTGGAAGGACAGACACTAGTGGTCAGAGTAGCACTACTCTCCATTGAGATTCCATCCTTGACTTCTCTGCAGAGACTGGAATGTCATTTAATACTCTATTCATGAATATTTAGCATAGGGGTGCCTGAATTCCTAATTTATCTTTTGCTAGCTATGGACATCTCAACTATTACTATACCTGTAATCTTCCCCAAAGATTGTGAATATTTCTGTCATTCCCCCCCCACAATAGTTTTTTGTCTGTAAATAAAAGGCTCAATTTAGGTTTGTAAGGTGCATATCTGTCCTATCCCTCTAAACAGACCAAGATCACAAGCTCATCTTATCTAAATAGTATAGATGTGTACTATTTTAAAGGGACCTTGGCACTCCAAAACCAGTAGGACCAGAGTTCTGCAGCAAGATGCCAGGATTCTTACATGGTAGACTGGAAATTCTTTGGCACCTTCATTTCAGTTGAATTTTACTAAACCTACTTTTTAAAAATATAACATTGACCCATACAATCACGACAGTACTTTTTATTACATTTATTTTATGTTGTCTCCACATTTTCATTTTTTGATATGCTGGATATTTTAGTTTTAATACAATGCATTGTAAAAACTGTTTTGAAACTTTTGGCACATTCGGAACTGTCGGAAGCACTTTAGGACTGTAGGATTAATTGCAGTAGCTGAATGTTTCAGCTACAATTAGCAGTGAAAGTTAATAAGGTTGAAATTTATTTAATCATTTTTAGATAGAACAATGAAGTTAATGGGGCAGTTCACACCTTTCAGAACTATCGTTTCAGATTTTCTAGCCACAAAAAGTGCACTGGTTTACATGCTCCTGATCCCCGGAACTGTGAAGAAAATTACAATTTATTTTTTATTTTTCATTTTGGAGCTTAATTCCACAGCCATGGAATAATTCACTGATATTTTCAGTGACCACTAACTTGATGAAAATCATTGACTTACATAAAAAAAGTGTAATTTCATTCCTTAATTCCCTAAGGGATCTCATATCTCTACAATTGGCATGAACTTCTTATTCATGTCAGTTATTCTAAAAGAAACACTCCTTGTGACAATGTGTGGGCCCTGTGCCTTTTGAAATGAGGTTTCCATCCTGTTTAAGGCATAAAGACACTTCAAATTTAAAAATCAAACATCTGTATGATAATTTTGTTCTTGTCATTGTTAGAATTTAAAATTACTAACTAAAATTTTAGTGACAAAATTCTTTTGTACCTTCAATCGGTTTACTTTATTCAATAATGTCAAATGCACAATCACTTTTAATTATTTCTTTGTGTTTTTCTGTGTATTTCTTATACAATAAAAGTGAAAGTTTAAAAAGAAAAATGTGATTGTACATGCTATAAAAAATTGATTGGGCATTCTTGGACAAACATGGGTTCCAAAACTACTACTTTAATTGACCAGATCACAAACTGATGGTGTTTCTTTAAGCTTTTCTCATGACTAAACCATTTTCTACCTGGTTTTCACCATTGTTTATAATTTACAAAGCTTAAAGTTTTCTGTGTCTGCGGGTAATCTCATTTACAATATTATACAGAAATTTTTATAATTAATGTGAGAACTGATACAGATACGGACTTAAAAGCCAGAACGGACCATCGTAATCATCTAATCTGACCTCCTGAACAAAGTAGACCACAGAATCTCACTCACGCACTCCTGTAATAGGCTCATAACCTCTGAGTTACTGAAGACCTCAGACCTTCATTTAAAGACTTCAAGTTACAGGGAATCAAACATTTACTCTAGTTCAAATCAGCAAGTGACCCATGCCTCACACTGCAGATGAAGGCTAAAAAACCTGTCTCTCTCACCTGGGGGAAAATTCCTTCCTGACCCCAAATATAGCAACTGGTTAGGCCCCGAGGATGTCAGCAAGACCCAACAGCAAGACACCTGGGAAATTCTCTGTAGTAACACAGAACCCTCCCCAGCTAGCGTCCCATCTCAGACTGCTGGGGATAATTGGAACTTGCAATAGTGGATGGGCCACTGCAGGCTATCATTATACCATCCCCTCCGTCTACTTATTAAGCCGAGTCTTGAAATAAGTTAGGTTTTTTGCCCCCCACTACTCCCCTTGGAAGGCTGTTCCAGAACTTCACTCCTCTGATGGTTAGAAACCTTTGTCTAATTTCAAACCTAAGCCTATTTATGGCCAGTTTATATCCATTTGTTCCTGTGACAACAATGGTCCTTAAAAACCTCCTCTCCTTCCCTGGTATTTATCCCTCTGATGTATTTACAGAGAGCAATCATAGCTCCCCTTCATTTTGTTAGGTTAAACAAGCCAAGCTCCATAGGTCTCATCTAGCAAGGCAGATTCTCCACTTCTCTCCTCATACTAGTCGCCCTTCTTTGCACCTGGTTCCAGTTTGAATTCATCTTAAACATGGGAGTCCAAAACTGTACACTGTAACCAGATGAGATCTCACCAGTACCTTGCACAATGGTAATTCCATAGCTCTACTGGAAATGTTTCATCTGATGCAGCCTAGGATTGCATTAGCCACTTTCATGGCCACATGACACTGATCACAGGATGATTGAGCTGCCAATCAATATACCCAGGTCTGTCTTCTCCTCAGTCGCTTCCAATGGTAAATCCTCAGCTTACAGCAAAAATTCTTGTAATTAGTCCCTGAAGTGCACGATCTTGCACTTTGCAATATTAAATTTCATTCCTTTTCTATTACTTCAGTTTTCAAGGTCATCCAAATCTTTTTGTATGTCCTCCTCAGTATTGACAATGTCCCCACTGAGTCATTCAGTTTTTATTAGTGCTCACTTTTTGTATCAAGGTCATTAACAAAAATGTTAAATAAGCTTGGTCCCAAAACCAATCCCTGAGGAACTCCACTATAACTTCCCTCCAGCCTGCCAGTTCACCTTTCAACATGTCCTGCTGTAGTTTCCCCTTTATTTAACCAGTTCCTTACCCATCTTTTGATTCTCATATTAATACCCATTTTCTTCAATTTAACTAATAATTTCCCACATAGAACTGTATCAAATGCTTTACTGAAATCCAGGTAGATTAGATCACTACATGCCGTCATATAATGGCAGACAGCTTAAAAGTGACAAGTTTTTAAAGTGCTTTAATAAGATGGGTGAACTGAAGTGCCTTACATTAAATGAGGATATTGATATAATAGGCATCACAGAAACTTGGCGGCAGGAAGGAAATCACGGCTGGGACAGGGGTGCGGGGGGAGGGACGGGGGTTGGGGCGCGCAAGGGGTCGGGGTGCAGGCTGTGGGCGGCACTTACCTCAAGCAGCTCCTGGAAGCAGCAGCATGAACCCCTCTGCCTCCTAAGCAGAGGCGTGACCAGACGGCTCTGCGAGCTGCCCCGTCCGCAGCTGCCAATGGCTGCGGTTGCTGGCCAATGGGACTTGTGGGGGCAGCACGCAGAGCACCCTGGCTGCCCCTTCGAGTAGGAACTGGAGATGGGACATACTGCTGCTTCCGGGAGCCGCACAGAGCCATGGCAAGCGTGGAGTGGGGCAAGCCACAGACCCCACTTCCCAGCAGGCGCTTGAGGGCCTGATTAAAACATCTGAAGGGCCGTAGTTTGCCAATCCCTGCCTTAAATGACTGCTTCTCGGAGCAGCTAGTCCTGGAACCCATAAGAGGAGAGAGAATTCTTGATTTAGTCCTAAGTGGAGCACAGGATCAGGTCCAAGAGATGAATATAGCTGGACCAGCTTGGTAATAGTGACCATTAACATAATTAAATTTAACATCCCTGGGGCAGAGAAAACACCATAGCAGCCCAACACTGTAGCATTTTATTTCAAAAAGGGGGACTATACAAAAATGAGGAGGTTAAACAGAAATTATAAGGTACAGCGCCAAAAGTAAAATCCCTGCAGGCTGCATGCAAACTTTTTAAAGACAACATAATAGAGGCTCAACTTAAATGTATACCCCAAACTAAAAAACCTTGTAAGAGAACCAAAAAAGAGCCACCGTAGCTAAACAATAAAGTAAAAGAAGCAGTGAGAGGCAAAAAGTGGAAGTTAAATCCTAGTGAGGAAAATAGAAAGGAGCATAAACTCTAGCAAATGAAATGTCAAAATATAATTAGGAAGGCCAAAAAAGAATTTGAAGAACAGCTAGCCAAAGACTCAAAAAGTAATAGCAAAATAATTTTTTTAAGTACATCAGAAGCAGGAAGCCTGCTAAACCACCAGTGGGGCCACTGAATGATTGAGATGATAAAGGAGCACTCAAGGAGGATAAGGCCATTGTGGAGAAACTAAATGAATTCTTTGCATCGGTCTTCACACGGCTGAGGATGTGAGGGAGATTCTCAAACCTGAACCATTCTTTTTAGGTGCCAAATCTGAGGAACTGTCCCAGACTGAGCGGTCATTAGAGGAGGTTTTGGAACAAATTGATAAACTAAACAGTAATAAGTTACCAGGACCAGATGGTATTCACCCAAAAATTCTGAAATAAGTCAGATGTGAAATTGCAGGACTACTAAGCATTGTCTGTAACTGGTTAGAAGATAGGGAACAAAGGGTAGGAATAAATGGTCAGTTTTCAGAATGAAGAGCAGTAAATAGTCGTGTCCCCCAGGGGTCAATACGGGCCCAGTCCTATTTGACATATTATTAAATAATCTGGAAAAAGGGGTAAACAGTGAAGTGGCAAAATTTGCAGATTATACAAAACTACTCAAAATAGTCTGGCTGAGACTTAACTGTGAAGAGCTACAAAAGGATCTCTCAAAACTGAGTGACTGGGCAACAAAATGGCAGATGAAATTCAATGTTGATAAATGCAAAGGAATGCACATTGGAAAACATAATCCCAACTATACATATAAAATAATGGGGTCTAAATTAGCTGTTACCACTCAAGAAAGAGATCTTGGGAGTCATTGTGGACAGTTCTCTGAAAACATCCACTCAATCTGCAGCGGCAGTCAAAAAAGCAAACAGAATTTTGGGAATCATTAAGAAAGGGATAGATAAAGATAGAAAATATATTGCCTCTATATAAATCCTTTGTATGCCCACATCTTGAATATTGCGTGCAGGGTGTGGTCGCCCAATCTAAAAAAAAAGAAGATATATTGGAATTGGAAAAGATTCAGAAAAGGGCAACAAAAATGATTAGAGGTATGGAACCACTGCCGTATGAGGAGAGATTAATAAGACTGGGACTTTTCAGCTTGGAAAAGAGACCACTAAGGGGGAATATGACAGAGGTCTATAAAATCATGACTGGTGTGGGGAAAGTAAATAAGGAAGTGTTATTTACTCCTCATAACACACAAACTAGGCCTCACCAAATGAAAATAATAGACAGCAGGTTTAAAACAAACAAAAGGAAGTATTTCTTCACACAATGCACAGTCAAGCTGTGGAACTCTCTGCCAGAGGATGTTGTGAAGGCCAAGACTAACAGGGTTCAAAAAAGAACTAGATAAGTTCATGGAGGACAGGTCCATCAATGGCTATTAGCTGGGACGGGGTCCCTAGCCTCTGTTTGCCAGAAGCTGGGAATGGGCGACAAGTGATGGATCACTTGATGATTACCTGTTCTGTTCATTCCCTCTGGGCACCTGGCAGTGGCCACTGTCGGAAGACAGGATACTGGGATAGATGGACCTTTGGTCTGACCCAGTATGGCCGTTCTTATGTTCTTTCTGTTTAGAAAAACTGTTTGTCTGGCCTCACCTACCATTTGTAAAACTACACCTCTACCCCAATATAACACTGTCCCCGGGAGCCAAAAAATCTTACCGCGTTATAGGTGAAACCGCGTTATATCAAACTTGCTTTGATCCATCAGAGCACGCAGCCCCGCCCCCCTGGAGCGCTGCTTTACCGTGTTATATCTGAATTCGTGTTATATTGGATCGCGTTATATCGAGGTATGTTGTTTTTTTATCCCAATTACCATTTACCTCTATGTCTTTAATTACTCTCTTTCAAAATTTGTTTGAAGACCTTGCATATATTTGAGGTTAAACTAACAGGCCTGTAGTTGCCCAAGTTACTCTGCCCCTCCCCCTTTCTTAAATATAGGCACTCTGTCTGTAATTGTCCAGTCACATGGTATGACAGCCGAGCTTATGGATTCATTAAAAATCCTTGCTATTGGATAGCAATTTCATGAGCCAGTTCCTGTAATATTCTTGGATGGAGATTAGCCAGGCCCCTCGATTTGATCTCATTAAGCTGTTTTGAGTTTGGCCTCCCTCTACAATGTGGTAGTTTCTACTTCCATATCCTCATTCCCATCAGCAACCATACCCCTGCCCCCAAGCACCTCATTATCCTTATTAAAAACTGAGGCAAAGTATTTGTTTAGGTGTTAGGCCATACTTAATATTATTTTAATCTCTACCCTGTCCTGTGTTTAGCATCCCACTTCCTTCCTTGTTTTCTTTTTGTTTATAGGGCTAAAGAACCTTTTACTATTGATTTTAATTACCTTTGTAAGGCCCAGCTCTGCTTGACTTTTGGCACTTCTCACTTTATCACTATGCTTTCTGACCTACATTGTTGGATCAAGGAAAATTGTTCATTCTCTCAAATATACAAATAAATGCAAAACAAATCTATTCAAAGTATTTAAAACAGGAGATTATATGATGAAATATTTAGACCTATTTGTTAAAGATAAACGGAAGAAAAAAACATATAAAAAATGCACAATGCCATGCACTATTACAGGAGTAACTGGTGGTAAAGAAACCTAAATATAGAGATTACACTTTCCATCATATCAGATTCTTGTAACTCTTTTTCCAGAAGTTCTAATACCTACACTGTTCGCAGCAGGCTTTTGCAATTTGGCAACTAGAAAGCCCTTGGGTAGAGAAGTGCCTTTAATCCCATGAAATTCCTTTCAGATTTAGCAGAGTTATAAACAGTTAAAATAATTTCCCTTCTTTCATTAGCATTCCTTAGGAAAATTCTGTCTGCATGCCAAAATATTAAACAGAACACAGACATTCTAATGAACCAGGCTGCCACAGCACACGATGTATTAGGAACATCTGGGCCCTACCGGAGCAACTCCAGTAGTGCTGTTTAGAGAAGGAGCTAGACCGGGCCCCCTAATTCTCCAACCACATCACATGGGTAGAGCCCTGCAAATCTGCGGATATCCACAGACCACGTTTGCGGATTGGACATGGATACAAACATACAACTCTGAAGCCATGATCTAGGTCAATCTCCATCTGCCTGCCCTTGCGGGCATCATATGGGGCAGAAGCTCCCTCAGCTCAGGGGATAGTTGGGAAGGGAGTGGAGACTATCAAGCCAGGATCCCCCATGTACCCCACTGATTCTGCACATGGCACCTGCAGCCCATTCCTGCTCTGGGATAACTGTCTGCTGCTGCTGCCGGTTAATATGGTCAGTTCTCAAGTGGCAGAAATTTTGCTGCACTGCTGAGGGTTGAGGTCTCAAACATTCTTGATTATCCATGACGGTGATTGTTACAGCCATACAACCTGCTTTATATTTTTCCCTTTAACAGACCTAGGGAAGTGCAATACAAAAAACTGCTTCAAAAGAAAATTGTTTAGGATTACGAAATCAAGAATGCAGAAGTTAAGAATGTCCAGATTTACAGTTGCCTGTGCAATCTTAATTCCGCCACTTTGTCCACATGCATTTTGACAATCTTTAATCAAATCCTCCATCCCTCCCAAAACACCTACCTCATTTAGTCCACAGACTGTATGCACAAGGGGGGGGAATTTAGGTTGCATGGGCAACTGTGAATCTGACATTCCCCAACTTTCTTTGCTTTGTAACCTAAATAACTAAGTGTAGATTTTTTAAAATGTAATTTCCTTGGGTGTTTGTTAACATACTTTTAAACCTTAAATAACCTTTTTAATGCATTTTTGTATGCATTCTATACATATATACACTACTCGTAAGTGTGAGTGCCTAAAAAATTACCACTACAGTAAAACACATACTCATGCTGTACACATGTTCTAGGCTGGATTTTATACCTAAAATATTGTATTGTGCAAACTAATAAATGAAATGGGCATATCGCCATATGTGAAATGCTTTCCTCACTTGCACCTTTTAAAATATTTTAAGGTAGCGAGGGGTCAATAGGCACTTTTGATATGGAGAAATGTACTGATTTATGTCTGAAGTTAGCTACCATGGTTACATAAACTAATGTATTTCCCAAGTCAAGCAATTTAGACTGCTTATTGCTAACTCCAACGCCAATGTAAAGAACACGTAATCAGGCAAACTGAAGGCAAATGAAATCAGGATCATCAATTTGGATCATCCTGATCATTTCTACCAAATTGGTGGTGATCAGAATCAGAGCCACTGAATTCAGTTTCTTCAGGACGCAACGGATCAGAGAAAAAAGGCATAACTTAGATGAACTTCCTAAAAGATCAGGAGTATGTGAGTTGTCCAACCCCCTTTTTTTTTTTTAATAGTAAGTGGATAGCTGGGCAGCGTTGGTATTCTTAGTAGTCACAAATAGATTTGGAGGAAAAGCTCGTTTCGGCTTTCATTCCCCCAGCAGTAAAGACTTAAATCATCCATTTTAATTGGACTGAGCCTCCTGGGTTGGTAAGTCATCTCGTGCAATACCAAACAGCATATTGCCCAGCCCATCAGGATCATAGGTTCTTGTTCTTGGTGTCATCAATCTTGTGGGACTCTCTGTCTTGAAGGAAGGTCAAAATCCTATGGGCAAGCTTGCCACAGAATAGATCAGGCATACTCCAGCCCCATGTTTCATTTGGATCTTGCTTCTGCTGCCATAGCTACAGAAGTGTTGAAGTAAGAGTACCTGAGTCACTAAAGTAACTGTCAACTGGAGCGGAGAGACAGAGGACTACTGATAGCAAGGGCTCTGCTGTGGGCTAAAAGCCTATACAGGAGATAGAGCTACTTGCAACAATATAAGGAGCAGCACTTCAGATTTTAATTGGCAGGTTCCTTCCAGAAACTAAAGTCAGTCAGATAGGTACTGATGACTCTTGATCATGGATCGAAGTGATACACCAAAATGTATGATAAAAAAAATAAACCTTATCCAATTCAAATTTACGCCAATGCTTGATATTCCCTAGACATTTTTGAGTATTTTGCCTTTTTGTTATTTCCTTTGATCCAGAATGGCTTCACTACTTTATTCAATGTTTCAGTCTAGTTTTGCCATGCTCAATCTGGGTAATTTGAACAAGGATGCCAACTCCTCCTTTGAAAGATTATTGCATCAATTACACCATTTAAGCATTTCCCCCCCTGAAGTTCAGCCTAAGTTTTACCTGGCTCCATTTCATTCCATAATTTCCAGTTATTCCTCCCCATATCATTAAGCAATTTCCTCTTTATTCTTGACACCCTTAATTATTTGTGTTTGTTACAGCATGCCTTTAGTATTTTTTTTTAAGCTCAATACATATTTCTTCTAGCTTTTCTTCATGGGCAAGTCCTTCTATACCTACTGCTATCTGTACTGCCCTTCTGTAAATCTCCTATTTGCACATAGTATCCCAAAGACAGCTCAACCATTGCTATTACCTTTCTAATGTGTGACAGAGAGAGCTAGGTATAATAATAACTATTCTATGTATCACATTGCGAACATATGTAATAGGTTACAATCCCCGATACAGGAGGGATTAATTTAATATTGCCTATTACCATAGTATGTGAGAAACCTTTCACGTAAAACCAAGGGGAATGGTGAAATCCCTACTGGTTTTTATGGCATCTCTGGCACTTGTCCATGTATAGAAAAAATTCTACTTGGGCATTTTGTTTTCAATTTTTTAGATTTTATAAGTTACCTTTTTGGAAACTCTAGGGATTTTATCTGGGTTGAAGGGGGGAGGGGGAATCAGTGTTGTGAGTGTCTTTCTTATGGTGGAAAGACTTTTTTGAAGAGGAATGATTTGCAGCGTCTTTCCTAAATTGGCAGCAGAATTTACTCTTGCCTCTCCCTTCAACCCTCATTTAAGAAGATAACATATTTCCTAAATTTCATTATTAATTACAGCCAATTTTTCTAAGTTATATAAACACATATTCTCAATATTTTATGTGTATACAACTCCATTTGGCATTGTCATCTGCAAATTTAATTAATTCTTCCATAGATCATTGATAAAATATGCTAAAATCAATGCCTACACTGACATTTCAAGAAGTCCTGCTAACCAGTTAATTCAGACAAGATGTTAAAGTCAGACAAGATGCAGAATTACTCCTTAGTTACATCCTGTCATCTTTTAATCCTTTTAATTTTGTATTTGCCCAATACAGTGAAATTTCATTAGATAAAAATTAATCTGAGGCATATTCAAGTATGTTAGAGAAGTCTAGATATCTTTCCTAGGAAATAATGTCTAAGGGTTTAAGCAGAGAACCAGGAGTCCATAATCCTATCCTACCAATGTAATGTCTAATCTTAGGTAAATAATTTTAATCTGTCTATTATTCCCCCTTGCGCGTCTTTAAAATAGGGGTTTGGTTTGTTTGTAAAGTGCTTTGAGATACTTAGTTATTGCCTTTCATAAGTATACATAATAAACTAATGTTTACACTGTAGCTAAATTAAAGTATAGTTTATTTTAAAAAAACTTATGTTTATTCTTCAAAAATCCGTGCCACTTTTATTCATTAGATGCCAACAGATTTGTTCCCCCTTACATGCTATCATGTTGCAGATGAGACTTTGGGGCAAGGCTAGATTCTTTACTCCTCTGGCTGGAACCATTATATAGGCAGATTCCTGCATTATGTTCCCACGTCCCATCCAGCCAAAGCACTTAGCAGAACTGATTAACTCCATATGCACCAAGACGTGAGCCCACAAAGCACCTCCTTCACCAAGAAGGCACAAGAAATGCATCCTAATCATAGCCCTTCTTTAGTTATTAGATATGAATAGTCATAAGTGCCCTCAACACAGTACACTGCAAGCTATGCATGGATTACCAATCCAGGAATCTCTTACTCCTTCAGTCAGTCTTAGAGGCAGACATCTCCTGGAGTTTCTCTTGTCTTATTCATCCACATACATAAAGAAAACACAGTAAACTCATAAGCACTTTAAAAACAACTAGCCTCCCTTATGACAGAAATGTCCACAGGGAGCTATACCTTACATCATTTATTTATTTAAAATACTCAGCCTTGATTAATACCACATACTCTGCTGCCAGTGTGCCTTCTTCGGTTAGACATTGGAGAATGACTGCGGCTCCTTCGGCGACGATATTCGGGTGTGTACGATCTGCTTCGAGATCGTCTCCTATGGGAATGAGAATGAGAATGGGACCTGGAGCGAGTGTAACGTCTGTGAGAATGTCTTCTTGATCTGGACCTTCAATGAAGAAAAAAGTTTTCAGATGTACATACATATATGAAATACATGCAATAAATTAAATTTAAAAAATTACTTGTCCCTAAAGGAGATTTCACAAATTCACTATCACCACACACACAAATAACATTTAAAATATTGTTTTAATTCTACTTCTTAATGTACCTATAGATTGACAATTGCAGATTTGTAGTAGTTTAAAATTGCACTGAGACTGATCAGTAATGTGATACAAACTCACACGGCAAGTACACTTTTGACATGTGAACTAGAATATATTTTAAATTAGAGATTTCTAAGCTTACACACACAGCATGTTAATATAAAATGATATCTATAACATGCAGTGATACGGAAGCCCAATATACTATGTTTTAAGAAACAGTCTTGCATCAGATGGGAGATGGACTGATCTTGCAGGGCTTTTCTGTCCAACTTCTATGATTGAGGTAAGCCTAGGCTCAACAGTAATCCAAAATTAAGGCCAGAAGGACCATGATAGTTTCAGGTAGGTAGGTTGTTCTTCACATCATTCACACATGTCCAGCTGTTCTCAGTAAGATGGTACAAAACTGTTACAAGTCGTGTGGTTTCACACACAAGTATCAGTCACAGGTAGGGTACAACCCTCATAGCCTAACAGTGCAAGAAAAACATACTGCAACAGCCAAAGAATGCCTGACAGTTTGCATGGTTCAATTTATGGTCTTTTGGCATTCATATCATTCATGCTCCTTATGAAACCTATGCTCTAACACCTCACAACTACCTGCAAGTCAGAGGACCTGAAAAGTTTTGGTAAACCACAGAAATTATTGTCTGACAGTAATTATGAAGAAACAAAGTTTGGTATGATTTGAAGTCATTGATCTCAATTACGTAAGTTTAGAGATCATCCTCAGAAATGGCCTTTGCAAAAACGTCACTGTCATTTAAAGTTTGGTCGTATTCAGGCTTCTACAGATTTAACCGTTAGTGACTGCAATCGATAGCAACCTTTTCATATTCAATCATTCTCGTAACATAGCCACAAAGCTCTTAAGAGCTTCCAGCTCAAGTTTCCTACCTTTGTCATCACTCTGAATGGCCACCATGGCTGCTTTTCCTAGATTCTAGCTGTGGACACTTCCCTGATGGTTAAATATCATTTTGCATTCCAATTGTGAGTACCACCAGTCAGCCCCAGGATATGTCTATACTACATGTGTAAGTGCAATTGCAGTGCAGGCAGTTATACCCACACTAGCTTTAATAGTGAGGATGTGGCAGGAGGGGAAGCTACCACAGTACAAGCCCACCTGGGACTACGGCTACTGCAAGCTATGCATGGGTAAAACAGTCAAGAAATGTATACACTACTCTTCCAGTCATTCCAACCCTTCTAGACTGAAGTTAGCATAAGTATGGCTACCCAAATTACGATGTCACATTTATTTGTGGTTCAGACATATTCCTATACTCTTTACACTCCAGATTTCCTTCCAAATAGCTTTCTCCAAAGACCATAAGTCCCAGTTTGCCTTCATGCAGAGCAATAAAAACTGCCTGCCAGCCTAGCAACAAGTGCTAGGTAAAGCATGAATTACAGCTCCACCAAAAAAGGATGAGAACCTTGAATAAATGGTATAACATCCTATGTAATTTAATTTTATCCATTCTGTTTGAAACAGTCAGCAACTACACTCATGAACCATTATCCCTTGCTCATTTGGCCCTAAGATACTTTTGGTATGTTTTTTCTCTGGTTCATCAGGGTATTTTTTTGATGCATGTAGCTCCTGTAAGCTACACGCATCCCTGCATTCAGTAGAAAAAAAATAAGGGCAAAATAAGCAAATATTTTTAAAAACCCCACTAATGTTTATGTAATATCTTGTAGGGCAAATACATTACTTAACAAACCTTACTGACTGCAAGAAAGAGTGTCAAAGGATAGAAGGGTCACATTCAGTAAACTAGAGTTTCGAACATACCCAAGTTGTCAAAGTCTTCATCTAAACAGTCTTCATCCCTTCCAACAAGTAAACCAATCTGTTTTGTGAAGCTCATACTTTTGTAGATCTATTTTGCTAATATGAGGAGAACCCTCTATTCAGCAATTAGAACCAATTTTCTTTGGAACCCAGCATTTTCGGGGAAGTGGCATGAGCATTAACTCTGAGCAACTGTTCTACTTTATCTATGTAATACGGGAACAAACACTGAAAGTTCAAGTTAACATTATTTGTACTACAATAGCACTTTGAGGCTTCAATGGAGATTAGAGCCCCCCCCCACATACACACTTTTAGATGGCATTCATATACAAGATCTTCCCTCCCCGAAATGTAAATAGATAAGACAGACCAAAAGAAGCAGTCCCATTTTATATATTAGGAACAGAGGCATACAGACATTATTGACCTGCCCAAGGTCATACCAGAAACCTGCAGCAACGCTAGGAATAAAACTCAAATCTCCTGAAACTTAACCATTACACTATTTTTCTGTTCAAACTATAGTAATGAATCATAACCCTTCTTAAACTGCCAAATAGTGTACAGACCAGGACATCTCCCCCCCCACTCAAAAAAAAGAGCTAAGTAAAAATCCAAGTAAGTGCAAAAGTACAAAATAATCATAATGAAATTAACAAAATACCTCTTATTTGTATAGAGGTAGTGCTTAGAGCCACGAATCAGGAATGATGCCCCCTTGTTCTAAGTGCTTTACAAAAGTATATCAAGACTACGCCTTTGCTCTGAAGAGTTTACAATAAATAAAGATAAAAAATTGATGAATAGGAAAACACCATATATACATACATACATATACATACACATACACATATACATACACATACACATACACATACACATACACATATACATACACATACACATATACATATACATATACATATACACACACACACACACACCCACACCCCCCAAGCTGGGCCCTCAGATGAACTAGTACATCTCAGAGCGCTCCACAACTTTTCAGTCAGTTTTATGTAGTAGTCCAAAAACTGGAGTTTCACCAGGACACTCTCTTTGTATCTATTGTAATGAGTAATCTTTGTAATGTTCTCTAGTGTGCTTTAAGAGACAGTTACTCACCCTGTACAATAACTGAGGTTCTTCAAGATGTTTGTCCCTGTGAATGCTCCACTTCAGGTGAATCTGTGCCCCTGCACTTGTAATAGGAGATTTTTAGTAGCAGTGCCTGGTTGGGTCACACACGCGCTGTCCCAGTCTCGTGCCGCCTCTGGTGGTTACATAGCGCTGTGTGACCAACCGCCCCCTCCTCGGTTCCTTCTCTACTCCAGTCTCTGATGTGAAAACTCTGAAGTAGGGGGAGAAGGAAAGGTAGTGGAGCACCCACAGGGACAAGCATCTTGAAGCACCTCAGTTACTGCACAGGGCGAGTAACCTCCTCCTCTTCTTCTTCTTCTTCAAAGAATGTCCCTGTGGATGCTCCACTTTAGGTGACTGTAGAGCAGCGCCCCTTGGTGGAAGGGAGGGGCTTTGGAGTTGCAGTCGTAGAGCGTCTGATGAGTGCAGCTCTGTGACATAGTGCTGGGTGAACGTATGGACTGATGCCCAGGTTGCTAGCTTTGCAGATGTCCATAACAGGCACATTGTTGAGGAAGGCTACTGATGTGAAGAATGCTCCGTTGGAGTGCGTATGGGTCCCAGTGGGGGTTTGTAGCTATTGATGGCAATAAGTCAATGCAGTTGGAGATCCATTTCCACAGTCTTTGTTTGGATATGGCGTCTCCTGCAGATCGTTCCGTGATGGAAAGAAATAACTTTAGTAACTTCCTGAAAAACTGTCCTTTCAATGTAAAAAGCTAGCGCCCTTCGGACGCCCAGGATATAGTGTTTGTTCCCATGAGGTTTTGGGAAGAATGATGGGAGATGGATGGGTTCATTCAAATGTAATAATGAAACTATTTTAGGTAGGAATTTGGGAGATGGTCATAGGGTAACTTTCAAAAATTTTGCGTATGGGGAATGTGCCATGAGGGCCCTCAGTTCTTCCACTTGTCAGGCAGATCTGATAGCAACAAGTATGGCCACCTTCACTGAAAGGTGGAGAAGTGAACATGTCACTAATGGTTCAAAAGGGGCTCCCATAAGGCATCACAGCACCAGATTGAGGTCTCATGATGGAATAGTGGCTCGTATTACAGGTTAAAGATTAGAAACACCTTTGAGGAAGCATTTAGTGGTTTGGTGGGCGAAGATCAAGAACGTGTCCACTTTGTGAAGGAACGCCGTGTTTGCTGAGAGATGTACTCTGATCGAGCTCACTGAGAGACCAAATTTCCTTGAGATCTAGTACGTAATCCAATGCCACTGGTAAAGGAGAGGTAGTTGCCATTGTTTGCCTATTTTGGCATCACATATAGACTCTTTTCCATTTGTGAAGGTAGGTATATCGTGTAGTCAGGGCTGGCCTTTAGGAAAATGGCGCCCTGTGGCAACTTGTATTTTGCCCCCTTCCCCGACCCCCTGGGCGTGATGCTTCCCCCATTGCCCAGGTATGAGATGGTTTACCTCCTGTCATAATAGGTGTTCATGAGAAGGATCCCTAATGAGGGACAGGGGAGTGGGTAGGGGGGATGGAAGCAAACTGGATAGAATAGCCAGTCTCAATGATTTCCCATACCCATTTGTCTGACATGATGTTTCTCCACGTTGGGTGGAATTGAGTCAGATGGTCTCTGAATGGATGGATGGTGTTGGATGGTTCCAGCAATAAAAGATGTGGGAGATCTCTGGTCCTTGACCAAATCCTTGAAACCGTTGTTTAGAAGGAGGTTGTTGGGATGTAAGGGGCTGAGAAGACAGTGGTCTCTGTCTCTGCGAATCATATTGCCTCTGAGGTTGGGTGTAGGGTGCAGATCTTGTTCTTTACACCAAATAATATTTCTAGTTTTTTCTTTCGAGAAAGTACATAAATGCTCAACGATTTGAGAGTCACCCTGGAGTCTTTTAATGTATGAAGAGACTCATCAATCTTGGCTGCAAACAGCTTTGGGTCCTCGAATTGGAGATCCTCGAAGGTAGATTGTACCTCTTTGGGAAAAACAGAGAAGTGGAGGCAGGAAACTTATCACATGACTATGGCTGTGGTAATGGAATGTGTTGCCATGTCCAGAGAGGCTTGTCAAACTGGTCAAGTGAGAAGGTGGCCCTCTGACATGGTTGCTTTGAATTGCTGGTTTTTTGTCCTCGGGGAGATGATCAATAAATTCAGATATTTTTCAATAATTTGTGTAATTGTATTTGGCCATCAGTGCCTTGTAATTGGCAATCCTGAATTGTAGGGTCACTGACAAATAAGCCTTATGCCCAAAGAGGTCTAAACCACTTCCAATCCCTATCATACGGGGTGGTTCTAGAGTAGGGTGACCAGATAGCAAGTGTGAAAAATCGGGAAAGGAGGTGGGTGGGTGGGAATAGGAGCCTATATAAGAAAAAGCCCTAAATATCAGGATTGTCCCTATAAAATTAGGACATCTGGTCACCCTATTTTAGAGTGATGTTGCCTGCCCTGCTCATTCACAGCCTCTACCACCGGAGAGTTTGGTGTGGGATGGGAAAACAAAAATTCCATTCCCTGGGAGGGGATGTAGTATTTTTTGTCCACTCTCTTACAAGTGGGTAGAATTGTTGCCAGGGTCTGCAGGATGGTCTTGGCCGTGTCCATGAGAGCCTCGTTTATTGGTAGGACAATCTCAGAAGAGTCTGAAGGATGTCCAACAACTTATGTTGGGACTCCGCAACTTGTTCCAATGGAATCTCTAATAAATCTGTGATTCTCTTAAATAGTTCTCAGAACTGTTTAAAGTCATCCCCCCCTTGTGGGTGGTGCAAGCATGATAGCTTCATCCAGAGAGGAGGATGAAAAACTGGTACCTGGGGTGACTCTCGATCTGAAGTCTCCTCCAGTTCCTCAACTGCCTCCTCCAGAGGTTCAAAGGGTACAGGTGCAAAGGGTGATGAGGAATGCCTCACCCTCTCTCTGTGTGAGCTGGGAGGCTGACAGTGTTGGCAGTACACCGCTCAGGAGTCCCAATAAGACCACTGTGGTGGGAATGGCATCGGTGGCAGCATCCATGGGTTTCTATACCATCCTTGAGTTTCAAGTATGAGTTGGTATTCCTGTTGTAGTGGACCTGGTCTGGTGGGGGGTAGGCAAGGAGTGGTGGGAGGAGATTTCCCCTTCATCATCATTAGCCTCATCGCTGGATAAAGGAGCAGCTGATCTGGCTAGTGTGGTAAGTTGGTACAGTACTGAGCATGCTGGAGTAAGGTCAGTACTCAGGAGTGGAGATTCTGGTGCTGACGAGACTAAAAGGTCCTTATGCCAGAGGAATTGCTGCAGTTCAGAGAGCATTGATACCAAGGAGAGTATTGTCGGCGGTACCAGCGCCTTTACCGCAGTTACCGGTGCAGAGGGCTTTGCGCTATGCACTGTGTAGGCAGGAGGTAGTGCCATAGATTGTAGTGGTGCCAAGCTGCTTAGTGCCACATTTGATCAGCTTTGGCGGTACCGAGGCAGGGATTTACCCATTTTTGCTTTTTTCTGAGCCAGCCCTCTTAGGGTCGTTTGCTCGCACAGTATCGAATGATCCCACTACCTTAGAGGTGGATGGTCTCGGTGCGGTCAATACTGATGTGTCTGAGAGGCCGGAGAAAGTCTCTTTGTCAGCTTCCCAAGACAGGGAAGTTGGAGCCCATTTCTATGTCCTTTTTGGGGAAGTGCTCTTTCCTCTGAGAGGGTGGTGGGGAGAGCCGGTCATGCCTCTTAGAATAAGGTTGTCCCGTAAGGGAGGGTAACTATATTACACCAAGGGGTATACTAATAACTGAAACTTAAACTCCTAAGATAAGGAAGAATTTTTTTTTTTTAATAAAAGAAAAACAGGGAATAGATAGGGCAGTTAACTATGAACTAACTGGGTTATAAACTGGTACTCTGTGAGACAGGGACAACGCATGTGTGACCCAACCAGGCACCGATACTAAAAATCTCCGATTCCAAGCACAGGCATGCAGATTCACCCAAAGTGGAGCACCCACATAGACACTCCTCAAAGAAGAACATGGTGCTGTTTGAAACAGCACTATATTAAAGTGCACTAACGATTTTAGTGCAGACTAGCAGGGCCCAATTAATGGCCAACATGTTAAGCAACAGTCTACATTACTGCTTCATTTAGACAAGACTTCAGATACAAGTAACCATTTCTGGTGTTTTTCCACTGTTTACTGGGGATTTCTGTATTGGAGAGTTTTAATGTGTCTCTTGGTCGAAACTGAAAATCAGAAGCTCTAGGTATCTTACATCATACCCATGGATATATGATGCAGAATTAATTTTTATCAAAATCAGTACATACCTGGATTTTGACCTTGACCGGGAGTGCGATTCAGAATGTTTGGAAGCCCTCGATGGACTACGAGATCCTGACCTGCTCTCCGATTTTACACGAGCAGGACTCCCAGCTGGAGATTTTGACTGGGAGCGAGACTCCTAACAAAAAAGATAGTATTACAAATGGTACTGGTCATATAAATGCCTAACTCCTAACATTTAAAGTACCGTAATTATATTATTTTGATTGCTCCTGAAAGACAAATGGTTAGGCAATACCCTCCAGAACAAATTTCAGTCTGTTAACCCACTGTTAATATTGTATGCTTTCCTCAAATAATTCCCTACTTGAACCAGATCACCAATTCTCTATTAACTAAGTAATCATGCAAATTCATCTACAACTTGATCATACAGACACTGGAACATAAACCATACATTTACTTAACCTAGGACCCATTCATTCTTCCAGATTCTTTTAATTCTACTTCACTCTTGCTTTCTACTTTTCTTCATTCTTCATTGAGTTTTTCATTTTTCATACTTCGTGTATTCTTCCCCAATTCAAACAATTCATTATAGCCTTAAAAAAACATTCAAGTGCTTCTATCTGACCAATCTTCTGTTCAATTTTTTCCCCCATTCAATTTTAATTTTCTGATCTTTAATATTTTTCATTAGCCTTCTTTTATCTTGATTTATCTTCCACAATCTTGGAAAAAACTCTTCAATTTCTTCACGAACATTAACCTTAATGGAAAAAGAACATTTAGTATATTTAAGCACTAGGGATTATAAAACTCTGCTGGAGTTCAGAATGTTATCTACCAAAATTGAAAAGCCAGCAGGTAAAGTGCAAGTAACTATTTTATAAAAACATTTTTTTTAATCTTTAAAATTGTATTATTTCTAGGTTCTGACAATGAGTTTACTGATTTTCTCTAAATGTTTCAAAGCTGCCCTCCTCCCCTTTCAAATTATAGAATTATCCTTATTTTTTAGAATTTCTACAAGATACAAACATGTACTAAAAACTTAATTTGCACAAATATATTAAGATGTCCTGATATAAAATATAGATTTTTCCTAATATTAAATGTGCACTTTGATATTAAATACCTAAAATGCTAGTCTTGTAATAAGCTTTTATTAAGCCATTTTTAGTTCAACAGAAGGTTAAAGCAGAGCTTTCCCAGTCCAAAAAAAAAAAAAATTACTATGCACAGAGATATACAGGGCCCAAACTAAATCTAAAGTTAATGATTCTCTAAATTTTCTTTTCTTCCTTATTGCTATTCTATTTCCCTGGAGTATTAAAGCCATATTTAAAATAAAATGTGCATTATAGTACAAAGCAACCCAAGAAGGGCCATTTTTACTTGTATGAACACACACACGAGAAATAACCAGGAAAAGAAGCAAACAGAGCAGGATAGGACCTCCCCCCCAAAAATATTTTTTTCCAGGGAGCTTAGCCATATGTGGCTTAAATTTGCTTTAAGTAATTGTAAATGTTTAGATATGGAGAAGTATTAAATATACACAAATAAATTTTAGCAAGCTTTCCCCCACCTTTCAAGTTCTTTTATTTCCTTTTGTTACATTCTGTTCTGGTTTTTACTATATCTTTTACTACCTGTTGTAAACAGTCTCTCTCATTCTGTTTTACTAATTGTATTTCTTCCTTTTCTAATCTTATGGCCTGTTTCCAAATCCATCTCTCATGCTGCAATTAACATGGTCAGTTTCTTTAGTGCCTTTCCTTCTTTAAGAGGAGAGTTTCCCTTCTCTTACTTTTTCACAAGTACTAAAATGACACGATTAATAGAAGTTAAAATCCTCTACTGAGCCTCATAACATGTAACCTGAGCAAGCTTCCCCAATGTACCTCAACAAGAATTCAAGAGAAAGAAGGGAGAGCTACATTCAGACTGCTAACTATTCAGAATGCCCTCTGATGTCTATGGGAGGTTTCCATAGAGATCACAAGAAGGTGGTGGCTTTATGTATCTTTATTCTATTCCATGCCTTATTCTCACATCCAGAGCTCACTCAGAAAACATGCTCCCTTTCAGGCCCACAACTATTCCTGCCTTTTCTTTTTTTTCTTTTTTTTCCTATTCTTTCCTCTACACTTTATTCCCTGCAGCAATTCCCAATACCTACAGCAATCATTCCCACGGCCTTCCTCAATAAAAGTGATCAGCGATTAAAGTTAATTACAGAAGTGTCATTGACATATCAAATTAAAAAGGGAAGAGTGTGGCCCACAGACTATATGTTTGACACCTCTAGTATAAGGGGTTATAGTTCAGTATCCCTGTCCATTCAAACTTAAAACTCTGCTGACATTGTCAACATGGATTCCAATTAATGCCATATTGACCTGAATGTATCTGCCAGATATTTGAAAGGAAACAACACCTCATTTCATACATGTCAAACTATAATCCATTTGTTTTATTTTAAAATTATTTCATAGACCCATAGAATATCAGGGTTGGAAGAGACCTCAGGAGGTCACCTAGTCCAACCCCCTGCTCTAGAACAGTTTAAACTCACAGGATAGTTCAACTGTTCCAATTTTCAAGTTGCAGTGAGAGCACAGGTCCTTACAAGTTTCAAACCTCTTCAAATTTGTAACAATTGGTGATATGGACTGCAGCTGAGGAGACAACTATTATCTATCAGCAGCTGCATACTGTACGTCAATGCCAGGCATTCACAGTTTTCTGATATAACAGAGACCATTACTCCCACAGAACTTCAAAGAAAGTATTAAAGGAATCTGTATAATGGCTTTATGAGATAGTTTAAGGAAAGCAAAGCAGTTAAGAAAATATTTCCCCCTACTTGTGGTCTTTTGCTGAACTAGAACAGGTTTCCAATCCCTGGTGAGTTACATAATATGGGATGAAGTCTTCTGCTGGGAAGGATTTTTTTCCAGAGACCTCACCATTCCTACCTTCTTTCCCCAAACTCCCCCCCACCCCCAAACCAATATGGCATCTTTAAAGTTTTATCATCTACAATGCAAACAGAGCAGACCTGATGGTTTCGTACACAAGCATTTTATAGGATAGATATAATCCACAAGCCTCATATATTATGTGTTGTCCTACAATATAACCCCGGTCCCGGGAAGTAAGATTTTTTCCTTAGCACATAATCTTTAATGAATGGGGGGAAAAAATCTCCTAGGATTATTTCAATTTTCTATGCAGCCACCAGGTCATACAAATGTTAAAAAACACATGAAAAATAAGGGCTTGTCTACACCAGAGCAATCAGTTATTGCTCTTCAACTGGTCATACAGCACAGATGGAAATACCAACACTTGAGTCCACACTCGCCTCCCTAATTGGTTTAAGTTTTGCCCTTGCATCCACATTCATCATGCCAAATCCTAAATGAATGTGGCCTTGCAGATCAAAAACCACCTGTGTTGATTTGAATTCACATAAAGGCTGCCCTAAAATAAAGATGTGGACAGTTATCTTTGACTGCCGCCTAAGCCAGCACATATCCTTACTTGTCAACTAAGAGTCCCCTCTCCGCTGTCTTCATCCTTTCAGTATATCCTGCTCCATAGAAATGCCACTGAGCAATGCCCTCCCTCCTGTTCTGAAGGTCCTCAAACTGTGACAAACCACCAGTTAAGGCTGTATTTCTTAAACACCATTAACCTCCCATCCCACTGCCACCATTGGACAGAACACCTACACTAATGCCTTCCCCTCTATCTGCTACTCAGTGAGTCACTAATGGTTCACCAGTCAATCCTCTTGCTCTAACGAACTACAGGTAGTTTGTCAGAGTGAATGCTTCAGACAGCAATCCACAGATGATTCTCCAGCTCAAGAGACAGCAAGAAGAGCACAACTAGTAGCTGCACTCCTTACAATACCTTAGGTACCAAATTCTCCCTAACACTCCAAAGCTAACAGAGCACCTTGACCAACTCCACTCTCCCTTTGGCAGGCCCACTTTATGGCTGACATTCTCACTCTGATGAACCACAAGCAAGCAGTGCCACAGTCAGAGCAGGGGACATTATTGGAGGTGAGTGGACAAGCTAGAGAGTACAGTTTCAGCTACTGATCTACAGGTGCTTCACCAGATGAGGACATGCAGAGCCAGAAGTATTTCTAAAGGATACAGAGGGGCTCTTCTGGGAAGAGAGGAAACCAGAGGCGGGGAGGGGGCCCCACCCAGGGCAGAGAGAGAAAACTCACAATCAACAAACTGAAGACCATTCACGAGCTGAGGGTATTGTAATCTCCGATAGGTATCAGTTAACAGGGCACCAACTGTACCAATGTGTTGAGTCTACATTGATACACAACTAACTGGTTGAACCATGGGTTTTATCCTTACAAATTTCAGATAAGCTACACTGACTGTTGCCTTCCCAATAATCCATGTTATTTTCTCCAGTACAGATAAGGCTTTAAAACAAGCTTTCAGAGTACTTAAACTATCCCACTGAATCTTTTGCAGGATATTTAAAAAATGCTCTTTCAAATTTCCTGGGGTGGGGAAGAGACTGAGGTAAGGGCAAAAATAAGTCTTGGGGGAAGGGGTATTTATGCCCTCTCACTGACCACTTGAACATCTCCAAAGTGTGTGAGAATGAGCTTGTCAAATGAATATCAATGGACCCCATTTCTGAGATGAGATATTAAAAAAGATAAAATAGGGCATAGCAGTGTGTGCATGAAGAGTAGAACAGGGAAGGAAAAACAATTCTATGGTATTTCACTATGGCTATTTCTCATAATAACCCCCCCCTTTCCTCCTCCCCCGTGCCAAAATGCAGTATGCTTGACTTGGTTAAAAAGAAAACATACATATTACATGTAGAACAAATAAAATCAGTCTCAGACTTCTATGTAGCTAACACTTCACTTGGAAGAGCTGCACATACATCAAGGTTTTAATCTGGTGAAAAGTCATGTGACTTCTTTTCACCATCCCAAACACACTTAAAAAATCCACTGAGCCAGTCTCACCTATGCTACTGTTCTCAAAGTCCTTCCCTAGCACAAGAAATAGCATAAGTAGCAAAATAAGATTGACAGTTCTGATCATATACAATGCTATTCTATTCTTACTTAGCCAGGGAAAAGGAGTACCACAGGCTCGGGCAGTATTGTATGAGCCTTTATTGTTGATGGGGAATAGCAGCATGCTCAGCCCTAGACAAGAGACAGGGATAAGCACAAGGATGTGGCTTCCATCACTTGCTGGATAGCACCCCAAGTCAACTGAAGGAGAAACATCAATGGTCTGGAGCCAGTGGAAGGACAATCCTATATACTTCCTTGGGAATTTCACCAGACCCTTCCCCAAGACAGACACAGACAAAAAGGAAACACTAGCAAAATAAAGACGGAGTGAAAAGAAACACAACCCTTTAAAAGAAAAGGAAAAATAAAAAGGGAGATGGATGATCAGAAAAGGAGATTTTAAGGAATATATTGATAGCAGCCTGAGTCTGTAGGATAAAACATCAACAGGGTAACAGCTAACAGATGAGTCCCTTCAGTCACAGTTATTTACTCAGGGATCAATTGGAATTTCTTGCCACAGAATATGGCCAACTTTGCTTTAAATGGAGAAACAGATCTCTTAATGGCTATTTTTTTCTTATACCCTGTCAAGAGCTTGACAAATCAAAACATAAGACTGCAAATCCTATAATGTGATATGGGTATATTAAGGTGGCTATGTATGAGTAATTCAACAT